GTAGGGAGGAGGGAAAAGCAGAGACTGGAAGGCAATTCAGCTGTTTGAATATTTGAATTTTAACAATCCGTCTACTGTGTCGTGACCCCTGTTTGGCCTGATCCAGTGTCAACTGACCATATGGTAACCCCAACTGCATTTCCAAGCCAGGAAACCATTCCTACACCATCCTGTACCAACTGTGTGTTCCCAGTTTTGATACAGAAGGAAAGATTTGAGGAAAATTTTGGAGGATTTCTCAGAGATTGATGTTTGAAAAGTATGCATGCCCTCCCCACATGACCCAAGGGGTAGTAGCCAGGCCATGTGGCCACAATTACCCTGTATTCTCTGCTGTGCAGGACCAAAATTAAAATGGTGGAAAGTTCTGCCATTTTCTCAGCCTTGGGGAAAGATAATTTTACTTCACAGAACACAAGTTTGAAATGACAATAGTGCTTCTACCATACACTTTGCCTCACAGATCTCATATTCTGAGGTTTGATTTGCTGTGAAAAATACCACAAAGCTGTGATTTTAATCCAAAGGGATTCATTAAGTTTGATCTCTAGTGTGTACAGACACACTGAAGCAATGGACTACCAACACATAAAGGTACTAAGAGTGACAAGCTTCACTACTTTTTGCCAGGACAAGCAAGACATTCACACATTTTGGAGGTGCAAATTACTGAATACACTACAAGTTCCCCACCTCCAATACGAGACATTTCATGGCAAATAAAAAGAAAGTATGAACCATTATACTTCTGACACATCACACAATCACAATGCAGTAAAATCCTTTGGAAGAACATGAGAAGCATTGAAATCTAGCTCAAATCAACCTCCTAGAACCCATAAGTATAAATGAAACTACAGAACAGGATGTATACATAACTGTGTAACAACAGAAAGTAAAATTGTGTTGTTTGTACCAAATAATGTGTCCCAAACACGTACCTGCCACGATTACGCTGAACTGAATGTTCCACCGTCATCACTGACCCATGGAAGTTGTAACCTGGAAGAGGAATACAGTCAAGAAATTGGTTATTTCTACTATTGCCATGCCTAAAGGTGGTCCAGTAGCACACATTGAACACTACGTACAGTATTGTAGAAACAAGGACATTGGTAGAAATAATGTTGTGCATTTTTCTTTATTCATATTGGTGAGAATCAAGCTGAGAATTCTTAATTTGTCAAATGTAAACTTGTATTTCTGTCTTACTAATATTTTTGTGATACAGGTATTTCAACCCATGAGAGCATATTTCACAAATCTCGCTGGAAAACCCACTTGCTTTTAGAACTTTCGAATGTTACAATGCTATCCTAAATGTTATTTCCTGCCCAAAAGCAAATGGCTCACAACTATAGCATATGACACAGACTTGGTAGGTTTGTTAGTGTACAACTACAAGTATTTAGTTCTTCAGCTTGGTTGATACTGTCCATTGTCCATTACGTAGCTTGAGCACGACTCAACACTGATCAGTAACACCAGAATCATTCAATTCTAGAAAGTTCAGATATTGAAGAAGTCGATCATGTTTTTGAAGCATTGCATTGGACAATTTTTATAATTTCTCAGCCACAAAGACTCCTCCCGCCCAAAAAAAAAACACCTGTTCATCACTTTGTAGCTTCCAAGAATATAGCATAGAATACAAAGTTCAATATTCATATTTATATTTGTTGTTCAAACTGATATTTGGAGACAAAACTTGCAATCTTCCCAGTAATATTTTACATACTCTAGGATCTATAATTCAACAAGTATTTCACATATTTCTACATCAGATTCAGTACCACAGAAACGTAAGTTTCTTACAGTGGAAAGACTCCACTAGTAAGACTACTGTACCAAAACTCAATGTACAGTACGTCAAGTTTTACAAGTTCTTCAAAAATCTAAAATTAGGCTCACTGGCTCAGAAACCTCAGCACAAAATCTTCCACTCTTGTGTTAGCATGTCTAATATTTACTGCATTGACAAAGAAAAACAGAGTGGATTCCTGCTAGATATTAGTATCCTGTTCTGATTTTCATAGAGTTGGATCACTACCTTTCCTACAATAGGTACACTTGAAGTTCTTGATGATCTTTGAACACAAATTTGTGACAAATTCAATTCTTGTCAGCATATTTTAGAGTTACAATTGGTCACTTTATACCCAACTTTTTACACAAGTATCAAACCAGTATTCCAGCTAAACTTTCTGTTATGAATAAGTAGATCCAGCCTTGAGAGATTTTGAAATCTTTCTGATAAGATATCCCTGTGAAAACAGACTGGTTTACGTTGTGGTTGTGCCTGTATTTGGGGATATACGTGGTGAAGTGGCGTGCCACCATTATATCAAAGATTGAGACAGAGATTTCCTGTGGTTTTCTCAGGACTCACTACCAACTTCATCGTTAACTGTCTGTGCAGACAACAAACTTCAACTGTCTGGAGTATTAGTATTCTGTAAGACTACAGTGTGAAAAATTAAACCTGGATTTCGGTAGCATCAAAAAGAAACACTGATTTGCTTATCAGCCTGCACTATCTACAATACAGACAACCAAACGATCCTTTGAAGTTTCGGACTCAAAAAATCTTTTTATACTTTTCTATAATACATGTAAGATCTATTTTACCAAAATGGTAACAAATCTGTGAGTAACTTTTGAAAAGATGTCCGAGGAAGCCGACACCAGGTCACGCTGGTGTGGAAAGTTTCAGGACCTTTCGCCACGCGGTGTCGGTTTTGTGTTCGAAATCGGTTCGAAATTGACCATTTTGAAAACGTCGATTTCAACAACACTGAGAAATGAACAGTAGTGAGTCGTTACCGGGGAAACCCTGGAGGGGAAACCCTGCCTGCTGTTGAAACTGGACTGGAAAATTCGGACAGAGCGTCGGAAACATCGGGAAGGGCGGGCGTGGCCCGGGGAGCAGGACGGGCGGACAGGGCACCACGGGGCCGGGCACGGCCAGAGCGGCGTCCGGAGCACCAGCTGCCATCTTGCTTTCGAATTTTCGAATCCGAACCTCCCTTCTTTTACCCAAAGAAAAATGGACGACGACAAAATAAACCAAAATGAACAGTTCATTTCTACTGAAACGGGTTAATGTAGGATTGATCTGTTGTTTTGTTTGTGAAGAAAATACGGATGTGGCCGACGCTGGAGAACAAAACCAGGTCCGAGCGCTCGGGCAAGCCGAGGCGAAATGTAGGTCGCCTGGGCCGCCATGTTTCTGCATCTCCTTGCAGAGGATGTAGCGACAAATCTCGCCCATTCTAACCTCGATTCTCAAGCCTAACGCCTTGTTAGTGATTTTCTGGAGTCACTGGGAATACGAACTAGGTCTTAAAACTTTAAATATCGCGTAAGGTTCCCTGTTTGGAGATGGAAGCGACCTGGGCTGGACCGTATCTAGTGTATGTTGTTAGAGCTTGGCGTGTGCGTTTTCTTTACTCTTTACTCCTTCACAAGCGATGTTCAACATGTCCGAGCGAAGATCCAGAACTACTGCCGCCTAGAATTTTATCCCGGGGTCAATTCTAACGTGTGTCTACGTAGGTTTGCAACCTCAAGCGACCTTCGCTGACGCCTGGAGGGGTGCAGGAAAAGGTCGGTTGGGGTTGCGAACCCGTACGGGGCCAGGAGCGCCCTCCCCCGAGCACCCACCGTGGAGCTTGCGGATGGTTTCCTCGGCTGTAGCGTTGTCCTGAACTTCCACGAAGGCGAAGTGATTCTTCAGTTGCACGGTGTCGGGCACGATAGGCACGTCGTACTCGAGGAGCAGGTTTTTGAGCATGTCCAGAGTGATATCTGGGCTCAAGTTGCCAAAGTATAACTTCGTAGCCATGTTGTACTACTACAGGATTCGAACCAGCGTGTTCTCGCGGGTAGGATGGAACTCCGAAAGGACTGAGGCGGTTCTCACGACCGAGAAAAAAAAGAGGTAGAACCGGACTGGGCCGTGTGCAAGCTGAAGTGAGACTGTTGGGAAGCCTGTGTAGTGAGAACTACACCCAAGAAAAAGGGACGGCGGGACCAGAAGTTATGTTGTGAAGTGTAGCTGACTCGTGTGGACCCGAGCTGTCGGAGGGAGTGCAGCGTCGGACCAACCGCCTTCAAATAAAATCCACGCAAATACCAGGAATAGTTGAATGGCTGAAAGCCGGCCACGTGGTCAGCTGTCTTCACGTGACAAGCCCGGTGCTTCCGTCCCGCCAAAACTAGACCTGGGCAACCTCTCTCATTCATCAAGTACAAACATCCTTACACAGAAAACAATCACTTGTCATTTTCATAGTTACATGGAATATGGACTTTTTCTAGTTTTTCTATTGAGAGTACAGAATAGTGAAGATTTGATACTTGTCAATCAATTGGCTAAGATCACGTGACGCTTTGGTTCTGATTGGCAATCGCATCATTGGATGTTATCCTCGCTGTTGGAGTTTATTTTTCAATTTCTTTATCAATTTCTTGCTTTGTTAATTTGTTTTTCAACTAAAAATCATCTCGACATAATTTTGATCATTTCTGAAGACTGAAAGATTTGGACCCAAATCTTGACGTCACAAAGGACTTCGCGAAGGATTTCTTTTATCGAAAGAATCTCTTGAACTAAAAGTAAAAGGATATGATTTTTTTTTCCTTAGGTCATGGGAGAAAAGAACACCGTAGTCCAAAATGTAGATAGGTAACTCGGGGATATAAAAATTAAGCTGTTGGGGCTGGGTGCTTGGTCTAAGGCTCGAAAGCCTGCTCTCCAAGCAGACGTCTGAGGACACTGAGGCGAACCATTCAGAAAGTGGGGTAAGGCAGAAGAAGGTTATAATCTCTCCACCTAACATCTGCTTGGAGAGTACAGGAAATTTGATAGCCAGCAACCGTGGGTGGGCCAGTTTAATAAAGTTACTTGTTTCTCGATTTAAAAAAAAGGAAGGCTTTTCATACGTGTCATAAGGCGTGCTTTGTGCCATGTTGGAGTGCGTTGTATATCTATTTCACATGCATGCCCGGCCAACGTGCTATTGCTTTACTCCAACATGGTCGCTGCTGTACTCCAACATGGCCGCTGCCGTACTCCAACATGGCCGCTGCCGTACTCCAACATGGCCGCTGTGGGAATCAAATCATAAGATGACGTCACGAAAAGCCCGTAAATGCATGGAGCTATATTGGTGGCCGCTACATCATATGGCTGATACGCAAGTACTCCAGAATATGGGAGTACCAGGGGTTCGTTTTTTGCTTATCGTGTGCTGATTGTTTATCAGTTCTGCTTGTATCGGGTTTCAAGGCTGTTTTGAAACCGGACACAACCCGAACTGATACACAAACAGAAAACATCACATAGTGATTTAAAGCATCACAAAAAAAAGCCTAGTCTAGAAGCCTGCTAGCAAGCTATGGAGGCTAGGTGAGAAGTTTGCTCTAGCCTCCACCAGGCCTTCCTACGGGGGTTATATTGTTATAGATAGTAAAATTGGGGATAGCCTGGGTGCCAGACCCACAGCACACTAGGCTCAAAGTTATCCAGTGAGATATTACTTTGCGCCCAGTGTGCTATGGGTCTGGCATCCAGGAGGAGTGAGCCAAGCGCGGGCAAATAAACTCCCATTGGCAAATTGATATTAATGATTTAATCTTCCTCGGCTCGCGTTTTCGTCCTGTTGGGAAGTAGTCAAAGTTTTATCATTTTATTTGCCCAGACATTTAGGTGTTTACGTTCAGTGAAACGTCGCACCTTTCATGGACACCCAAATATCAAAACAAATTATTTCAGCTGATTAGGTCCTATCAGTTTGCGTCATGTGCGTTGACCTTATCATTGGTTGATGACGTACAGGATCCCACGGGGCCGGGGTCAACGACCTGAAGGTCACGTTGTTTTGTGGCGTTCAGGGGTTATCCGCACGGGGGCGGCCGTAAATAATCTCCAAGCAGATGTTGGGTTGAACATTGTTTTTCGTAGCTTGAGGACCGTAAAAAAACAACCACAGGAGAGTGTTTGTGGTAATTCTAGTACATGTACTTGTACTTGTAATCAAGATGAAGTAAAAAAAAAGGTGCTTACTTCCAGGGACTAAAGTATTGCTTTATTTGGATGGCTGAGCTGTGGGTTTGTGTGTCTGTTCGCCCACACAGAGTAGGTTGACAGCACGTGGGCGTGGGAAGATTGACGGGCAGATTTTTCAAGGTCAGAGGATCAGACACAGACAATGGGGTGAACTTGAAGGTCTGGAAAAGTTAAAATTTACAGAGGTTTGGCCAGCACGGGGGTCGAACCCGCGACCTTCGCGTTATCAGCACGACGCTCTAACCAACTGAGCTAACCGGCCTGCACCTGTTACAGATCGTACAACGACTGGGCTACAAATTATTTGCTGTCATACAGGCTTCATAATTTGTGTGGGCACAATACTTCCACGCTCATCACTATTTCCATGCCGCCAACTGAGCTAACCGGCCATCGACTGAGATCCTTTCCGTCATGCCTCAACTTTAACGACAATAAATCAAGAAGGTAGGAGGACATCACCACAATAGAAGATGACTTTATATACCCTCCTCACCACTACAGACTGTGGCCGCTGCATGGGCGACCAAAGTTTTGACAGATCGGTCAAAGAATTTCATAGATTAGTCTAGTGGGAAGGCTTTGCAAGACCAGGGCGCCTGGCGAAACATCGGATCAAATGGTTTCGCGTTAAAGACATCCAATGCAATTTCAGTGCGGCAAAACAAAAATATTCTGGATGAGGAAATCTGTCCGGTATTGGAATTTATTGCCATTTCTTTCCTCATCATTTCATACTTCATGCGTTTGAAGCCCCCCAAAAAAGCTACATGAGGAGTCCCTTTATTTTTTTTTTGTACCATCGGCATCAGTAAATAGATATACCAAGCCTACGATACGAAACAAGCAACCGCTTTCCGTCAGCAAGATTTCATTTAATTGCCTTATTGTAATTACAGATATCAGTATGGTATGGGATATCGATTCAATCTGCTATACATTAAAAATGACACTAAAATTTAATGACTTTAAAAATTCAGTTTTACTACCCTGAAATCGCTTTGGATGATGAGGAGAACTGATTCATGCAGATGCTACTAAAATTGCTGAGATTTGGGTTTCATACTGTTTATTACACAAGCAAAAGCCTAATCCAGCGATTGCAATGACTCAAGGGCCAGACGGCATTACGCAATACAGAATGAATCAAGCAACTGAATAAATTCTGTGAGGAGTCAGACGTTGGAGACATCATTCGCTATCATCATTGACTGCCAGGAAAGGCGCAGATGGTATTACGTTTTCTCACGTGAAAGGGATACGATGGTTTTGTCAAAAACCTCCAGGAAATATAATGGCGGTTGTTTTTCGCCCTCCTGGGACCTCAGCTGCTTGTTAGCTTTGAATATTGCATACTTTTGTCAATTCAAGTCACATAAAATAGCGTGAACGTTCATCTGAGTTGTTAAATTACATTGACAGTATATGGAACAATTGAACAATTCTCCCGGCTCATGGCTTAAGAGCTAGGACTCAGTCATTCAGTCGAAAATTACGGTGACTCCAATGGAGGTATGATTTTGTTCATCTTTTCTGAGAATCACCCACGTACAAAATTCGCAGATGAAACGATTTCAGCAATTTCCGTCATGCGACTCCTGAAAAACATCAAAATCCCATCTCTCCTGGATTGAAACTGTATCCGCCATCATCAAGTGAATTTTGAAAATTTTAAAAATCATTGGCATTGAACATTTCCTTGTTAACGTTTGTAACGGAAGAAAAGACTTCTGAAAAACAAGAAAATTCCATCTTTCCTGGATTGAAACTGAATTCATCTATATCCGACATCATCAAGTGAATTTTTTAAAAAATCATTGGCATTGAACATTTCCTTAATAACGATTGTAACGGAAAAAAAGGCTTCTGAAAAACTACAAAATCCCATCTTTCCTGGATTGAAACTGAATTCATCTATATCCGACATAATCAAGTGAATTTGAACAAAAATCATCGGCATTGAACATTTCCTTGTTTGTTACGGAAAAAGGATGTAAATGTCTATCATTCAGAGGAAATCGCCCACGTGGGGCTATCTGTAGTGTACTTCAACGTCGCTACACATGAAAGGAGAAAGAAGGTTTGTACTTTGGACTTTGGAGACACGTTTTCCGGTCATGAACAAATCACCGACTTCCTTTGTCGTGAGAATGAAAGGGTAAATCGCGGAAAGATGGTTTTAAATACTTACCTTAGGTGTTCAAAGCGTTTCCGCATGTTCAGGGTTGTTCGGAGTCAAGTCGTGATGACGCGTGAACGTCACAGTCGACTGCCTCGGGTGTACTGTCGGGCAATGGTGGTTTTAAACGGGCAGTCACCTCGTAACCTCATGCGCGCGCGTTTTCATTCACTCCAAGTAGATGTCAGGCCATGCAGGCTTGTTACCTTCATGAAGCATAGCGCGCGCGTGTGTGTGTGCGTGCGTGTGTGTGTGTGTCGGTGTGTGTGTGTGTATGTTTGTGTGTGTGTGTGTGTGTGTGTGTGTGTGTGTGTGTGTGTGTGTGTGTGTGTGTGTGTGTGCGTGCGTGCATATATGTTTGTGTGTGTCTTCATTAGACCTTGAATCCGAAATTATTAGATTTTGGCCCCCTGGAGGCTTGTTATGACACTGCAGCGGAGCTTACGGTTTTGATATCTCATGGTATAGATATGCTGGGGTCATAAATTTGAATGGTAGATGTATGCGGTCGTGGAACTCTTGTTTTTTACATGTATGTGTCCGTGTATCTGCCTGTGTGTGTTTCAGAATTTGTATAACAACATAACTCAATAAGATCTGGATAGATTGTAATGACATTTGGCGTATCGGTGGGTCAAAACCGAACCTCTGCTTTCGGAGTCAATATTTCCGATATCACCATAAAAGGTAGAGTCACTGCGAAACAACGTCCGCGGATACAGGGGTTTTAAAGGCACCCAAAGCGATTCTATGACTGTAAACCTGGATTTTCAAAGTCATTTTTTCTTGTAGTAATTATTTTAACCTTCTCAGAAGCAAAACATGCATACTGTTTTTGCTGTTCCTCCTTCCCCTTCTTTTCCAAAGGTCAATAACCAGACCGTCTGTC